CGTAGCCCTTGGGTTAGAAGTTTGTATGGGCTTTGAAACTTCCGCAGTATGGAAGGGGTTCACCCCCGGGGGTAGTCTGATTGGATGAAGTGTTACGATTTGTGAAAGCAGCCTTTCAAACGTCCAGCTCCAACTTTTCAACCGCTGACCTCCCAAGATCACAAACCAAGATTAGTGCGAAATTTGCATTCAAGAGTACATAGCTGCGCTACACTTCAAGGCGAAACGTGCTTAGTTTATATATAAATGACCTGACCTTGAGAGTTTTAGAAAAGGCGTGCGATAAACAATATTGGAACGTTCCAAGACAGGTGACCAATAAGATTGAACAGAGCGGGGATCCAGGTAACTGCTCCTACATTCCACCACATTCTATGACATCTCTGAAATATTCAACGGATACATATTGGCTGATTTCGTTTTCTCATAGAAACAGGCCTATTTTCCGGGAGATCGTTGCCTCTCTGATATGAGGGATAAAAGCGCTTCTAAGGATGAATGAACGAACGTCTGATTCAACTCACGGGTATTAGCGCTGTAAAGCTTTACCATTACTTTCTGTTGTCCACAAATGCACGAACCTTTCATTCGTATTTTTTGTTGTCGAGCAAGCAAATCATCGAGAATTCTGATTTTACAATTGATTCTACGGGATACCTCATGTAAACCCTGGAAGAATCGTGAGACTTATGGCAGGTTGTCTTCTGTATTCTTAAATTTTTCAAAAGAGGAAAGGTTATTCCACATCTGTAGACAAGCAGAATCTTATGAGGACAAAATAGGTCGAAAATGACGTTAATGCATACTTGAAAAATAAAATACAAAGGCGACGGGAATACTATATTCAAATTTGATGAACAGTGTGATGCTCTGGGTCAGCACTGGGACACGAGAATTTTAGAATACATATATCAGTTGGACTGATCCAGGCATAAATTTGCTTTCTTTCTAACGTTGTATTAGTTTCAGTTTTCAGTTTTTACAACCATTAACCATGCACTTTCGTGCGCCGGTTTTGGTTGCCCATTTGGATAAAAGAGCGAAGTGAAGATTGGAATGTCAAAGCAAATTCAAACGGAAAGTGGGGAGTACATATAGAGTGGTGTTAGGAAAATAACGAGTAGATGCACGAGCGCCACTGTTTGCGACACCCAGCCATATCACTCAGTGTAGCTAACCATCGGTGACCATCATCCCGAGGTCCCCAGCCAGGAAGCCTAACGGGGCCTATGTGACCTAGTCTCCTGGTTAGGGTTTTCATATCCTCATGCCAGGTCTTAGCTTGACCGCCCTTCGTTTTTTTCCAATCGCTACCAGCCTTGGCAAACATCGTTCGCCGTGGCAACCTATCTGGTGACATGCGTAGCACATGTCCCAACCAGTGTAATCTATGGAGGTCGATCACTTGCTCTAGTGGACGACCGCGACTGCCTAAAACTTTTCGCCTGACCTCAGCATTGCTAATCCGAATACCCCACCAGACACGTGCAATGCTACGTAGACAGCGGTGTTCGAACACCGACAATCTATTTTTATCCTGTTCCCGTAGGGGCCAAGTCTCTGCACCGTAGAGCAGGACTGGCCGAACTGCTGCAGCGTACACTCGACCCTTCACAGACAGCCGGATGTCCCGACGGCGCCACAAATGTTTCAAGTTGGCAAATGCCAATCAAGCCTTTTGTATGCGCACCAACACTTCATCTGTGAGATATAGCTGCGTAGATAGCAAAATTTGTCTACTTCTTCTACTACTTCCCCAGTTAGGGTGAGACTGGGTGCTGGATCAACCCAATCTTGTAGTAGCATTTTACACTTTGAAGGTGCAAAAC